CCCAGCACCACATGCCAGCCAGCCCCGCCCCCTGGTGGGCTGAGCTGGCCACACACACACACACACACACACACACACACAAATAAAATAAAATTTAAAAAAAAAAAAAGATTTAAATATGGAGGCATTCTATTAAAGCATCTCATTTATTGCTCAAAAACGTTAACTGTTCCTCCAAAGTATCCAATATTACTTTTATCTAATAACATTCAACAGATATTTATTGAGCGTTTAATATTGGCCATTCACGGGGTGCCCACTAGAGAGAACACATAAGACAGCGAAAAATGCCATCAAAGTGCTCACAATGTACTTATCTCATTCCTCATTGCTAGGAGAAGCTCTAGAGCGTGGGGCTTGTGACCCATTGTGGAAGCCCTAGAATTAGCGACTCCATGGGTTACGCTTTCGTTTTTTCTGCTGGGAACAATAGTGTGGGCAAAGAGTGCATCCTGTGGAAGACACATGAAAGACAAAGATGACGGAGCGCTAACCTAACATTTGTGAGGCCCCAGGCTCAAGCTCCAGTACTGAAAAAACTACAAGCAAACTACTTTGGTTCAAGCCCTGGCTCTAATGACAGGTCCTTCCATCCGTCTGTCTGTCTGTCTGTCTGGCGGGCTGGCGGGCTGGCTCTCTATCATCTAACAAACACCATCAGAGATGAACGCTGTCCCAAAATAGGCACATAGCCAAATGCTACGTAAGAAAGTGCTACTGTGACGTTCCGTTATCACAAGTCAAGGGGACCGAGGTAGTGAAAGTGGGCTACTCACACACTGGCCAGAAGCTTTACTGTCATTGTTTAAATTCTTAAGACACTTTGAACAAGGGGCCCCATGTTTCCATACTACACCAGGCCCTGCAGATAATATAGCTATTATCAAATCCTAGAAGTCAGCTGGGAAAAGTAGAAGTTATTCAACAGTGGTGTAGGGAGAACTGATGCTCCGTGTTGGGCGCTGATTTCACGCCACGTGGCGCATGAAAAGCATAATTAAACAGCAGAGACACAACTCCGTGTTCTTAACTTGAATGCAAAGTATTGGTTTGAATATAAAAATGTCATCTTTAAAGAATAGTATCATGTATTTCCTAATTTCTTAGAGCATAAGAGTTAAAGGCATTCCTAGCTCCTCGATGTGGTCTTGTAGTATTTTGCCCCCGTACCAACTGAAGGCGCATTGGAGTTTTTGGAAGAATTTTGTGCCTTTGCTGTTTCCTGTCTCTGGTATTTTTGTTTGTTTTTTTGTGTTGGGGTTTGCAAATTCCTTGACCCTGTTGTTCAGGAGTGTACCACAGGATTGTCCAGCAACCCCAGGCAATCCAGGTACTGGCAGTTTTATACCAGAAAGGTAGCATAACGGTCTACGCTGTGTAACAAACAAGGATTTGGATTTGAGATGATCTGAACTTGAATCTGAGTGCTTTTTGCCACTAATTGGTGACCTGGGCAGATTCCTTAAGCTCTTGTTGCTTAACTGACCTCAACTGTGTAGTGGGGATAGTGACAATTCGTTGTCAGGGTGCTCCATTGACTGAATAAACACACATCAGTAAAGTTCTCAGGCTAGTATGTGACAACAAAAACTGGGTAGATATTTAATATTATTAAATGCTCAATAAATAACCTCTAAAGAAAGTATCTGGCACATGAGGCGGGCTTACTAAATATTTACTGAAACCAGAAGTAAGATCTTCTTAGTAGATTTTCCTATTAATATAGTACCAGATGCACTAATGTGGATGGGCGTGCCATTAATTTTTCAAAAGATCATAGCTCAATAATATGCTTTAAGAAAAGAAAACACAGAATTTTAGATTCTTTCTCTGTCCCGTGAGGAGTGCCCTCAACCATCTTGTGAGGAACCAAGTTAGATAGGGCTTCTCTTTCAACTCCAATAACATGTTGTTTGTCCTTAGAAAACAAAATAGGTAAAACAACAAAGAAGGCCATTTTCCATGCAGGCATGAAAACTTTGAATGTGTAAGTTTCCAATAACAAAAGGCAACAAAGAGAATTTTCAGTTGATTATAAAAATTTGTGTAATGTTCGACAACAGAGGTTTGAACTGCAGCAGTAGATTTTTACTGATATGATCCCTAGTAAACCATAATCAAATGTCATATAAATTTTAATCTGTGAGGGGCCAGGGAGTTAGCTCTGCAGAATAAATGCTTGCCTGGCAAGCGCAAGGCTCTGAGTTCGATCCCTGGTACTACCAAAAAAAAAGATTAATCTATGAGAAATGGCTAATTTTGTCCTGTCACACTGGCCTAACAGGAGCTTCTAGAAGGTGATTGGTCAGAAAATCAATCTTGTCTCTAAACCAAAGTTTCAACCCCTTCAAATAACACTCTTAGCAATTAGGGGAAAAAAAGGTCCACTTTTTAAGACATTCTTTCTGGTTTCACAGTAATGCATATTCACTTTAATACAATAACCAAATATTTTAAAACTGACTTATTGTTATTAAATCATTTAATAATGAAAGGTAGTTTCCAGATATTTATTTTCCTGAGGTAACAAATATTAGCAGTTTGTTCTACCTAGTTCTCACTTGCGCACACACACACACTGAAGCACATGCATGTGCACTTTGTTAGTGTGTTTGTGAACCACTGCATCCTCCTGCCCCTCAGTCTTGCCGCAAGCAGTCACGCAGTTTGAAGAGCTGGTTGGTATGGCGGAGTCCCTGCTGAAGGGTGGAGGGACCGTGCCTCCCGCTGCGTCCACCCTCTGGAGAGCCACCAACAACTCCTCACCAGACTCGTTTGCCTCAATGTGCAGTAATTCTACTTCGAATTCCAGTTCTCCGGTTTCCCTGAAGGTTGAAGAAGAGCATCCCCCGGAAGAGAAGCAGGTCAGTTGGAACACCTGCCGCGGAAACAGTTTCATATAAAAATTAGCATGAATGTGGAAAATGATCATTGTTTTAGCACATACATTTCAGGAAAGTCATAGCTGTAATAGTTCTATTACATAGCTATGCCTCAAGGGGCCAGGGATATAGCTCAGTAGCATAAGCGCTTGCCTGGCAAGTGCAAGGGCCTTAGTTCAATCCCCGGTTCTGCAAAAAAAAAAAGTATTACTCAAAATACAGTTGGGGGGGCCTGCCCATTAGCTCAGTTAAGTGCCTGCTTAAGCAAAGCAGTCAGGCTCAGGATTCTGTGGTTCAATCCCAGATCTTCATGCTTTACCAGGCCTGCCCTTAAGGAATCCCAAGCTAGCCAAAAGAAAAAAGAAAAAAAAAAATTCCTACGTAGCTATTCCTCATTTAATAACCTACCTGTTGAGCGACAGTTCAGACTCTCTACTGAGGCACTTTGTTCAGACCAACCACCCCCATTCTGACTTACAGCCAGGAAGGCGCATGACTGGGCAGCCCAATGGTGGCTTTTGCTGTAGTATAGTACTATAAATCTATATTCTGTTATACATTGCACTGCCAGTTGGAAGAGTTATGCAAATAAAAGCAAAGTCAGGCCAGTGAGATAGCTCAGTGGACAAAGCGCCTGCTTTGGCAAGCGTACAGACCAGGGTTTGATTCCCGGTCCTGAATGCCATGCTGGCTCCACCCCCAGGCAAGCTGAGCCAGCAACAGAGTCAAGGGATGGTGGTGTTTTCAGCACTGGGGAGGCTGAGAACAAGAGGATCAGTATAAGTCCAAGCTGCATAGTGAGACCCTGTACCAAATACACAAATGAATAAATAAATAAAAGCAAAGTCAGCAGGTTGGGCTTTTCTATGACCACTCATTTGTTCTGAGTATCTTAAAGTACCTACTATAAACAATTCCTCATTTAGGGAGCAGTTCATCTAGTGACCCAGTGCCGGACTGGAACTTGGTAGTCACTGAGGAGTGTCTGCATTTCATTTTTACAATAAAAACTTTCATGAAACAAATACCCAGCTTAGAAAACTAAAGGCAGGGGCTGGGGAGATGGCTCAGTAGGATAAGCATTTGACTGGAAAATGCAAGGATTTGAGTTCAATCCCCGGTTCCGTCAAAAAAAAAAAAAAAGAGAGAGAGAGAGACAGAGAGAGAGAAAACTAAAGGCAAATCATGAGCAAATTGAAGTTTTTAAAATTTATTTTTATTAGTTTATGTTTGTGATACATTATAATCACACTCAATTTGGAGAGTGGATACATATACATAGTGCATCTTGATAATTTTTACTCTTTCTCTCCTCTTCCCCAAGATGATATTTTAAAAAATGATAAAAATTTTAAACCTATAACCCAAAGGTAGCTAGGCATTAAGGGTTGTACTTTTTTTTAATTAGTGAGAGAAGGTACAGTTCAGCCTCTCCATGCTGGGTGGTCATAACTCATTTTCTATTCTTCCAATTTCTCTTAATCAGAAAACAGAAGCCAAAAAGGCAAGAGTTCATTTAAAATCAGGTATCAGCCTTGGGAAATGGCCTCCAAAGGTGACAAATGCCAGCAAACTAATATTCACGTATTGAAGTCTTAGTATATCACTTTGCTATGGCTATGTAACAGTTCCCCACACGTGTAGTGATTTCATGTGACACCACTGGTTATTTCAGAGCGCTGAATGTCAGAAGTCTACAATGGCTCACTGGACTAAAACCAAGTGCCAGCAAAATTCCTTCTGCAGGCTCCTAAGGGAGCATTTGTTTCCCACTCAATCTGGTTGGGACCAGACTTAATTTCTTGTGTAAACCTAAATTTTCCATTTTCTTGTTAGCCATAACCAATCTGAAGGCCTTTCTAGGGGCGATCGCATTCCTTGAGTGTTGACACACTTTAGCCATCTTCAAAGCCTCCTGAGGCAAGTCAAGTCTTTCTCACTCTTCTGTCGCTCATTTTTGACCTAACCTCTGCCTCCCTCTTCTTTTCAGAACTCATATGAATAGATTGGGCCTCCTGTATAATCTCCCATCGCAAGATATTTAACTTTGCTAGCATCTACCCAATTATTTTTGCCCTGTGAGCTAACATATCGGGTACCAAGAATTGGGATGTGGGCATCTTCGCAGAGTCCTTATTCTGCCCGCCATGCTTTGTTTGCAGTCTTGAGAATCAAGTCCAGATTATATGACAAGAATTTGCATATAATCTTACACAAATACTTCACATACACTGAGAATTATCTCAAAGATATTTACCCCCAAATGTAGAATGTATATTAAAAGAATAAAGTGTCTGCCTTCAAGAATGTTGAGGGCCGGAGAGATGGCTCAGTAGAATAAGCGCTTCCCTGGCAAGCGCAAGGGCCTGAGTTCAATCCCCAGTTCCACAAACAAACAAACAAACAAAAAAGTTGATATTGTTCTCAGCTGTGTTTTAACTCAATTAGTAATACATTTCTCCAGATAATCATTTTTCTTTTTCTAATTTCAATTTTCATTTCTTATTTTTTAGTTCAAGATTGAAAAATGGCAGATTGCCCGTTGCAATAAGAACAAACCTCAGAAGTTTATTAATGATTTAATGCAAGTGCTTTATACAAATGAGTACATGGCCACACACAGCCTGACCGGGGCGAAATCCTCCACTTCAAGGGACAAGGCCGTAAAGCCAGCTATGAATCAAAATGAAGTTCAAGAGATCATAGGTGAGTGCACCATTCTGCCTCATGAATTTGAACTGATGTTACCATACAAGGTCAATTAATTCTGCCAGGGTCTTTGTAAAACTTAGTCCTCTCTGAAAGAAAAATTCTGGAATAGTTTAGTAGTTTCATTAAATATGGAAAATTTTATGGAAAACTTTTCATTAAAATGATTGTTAAATAGGACTGAAGTTTATGTAACTAAAATGTTTGGCTCAATAAAACTCATAGCTTTAGAAAATAAAAGCTTCAAAATAGTCTAAAAATAACTTCAATAACAATTTGTATCCTGTTTTTTCCTGTCTTAGCTATGTCTCATCTTTTTCATTTGATTATTCCATTTGTAGTTTTTAAATTAATGCATCTCATTAAATGTGATCATCTAAATTACCCAACTAACATTATTTGCAAACATCTAAGAAACTTAGAGATTCACTGATTCTGAGCTCAATAGATCTCATTTCTTCGTTGGAAAATGATCAGTTGAAGGACTGGTCAAATAGCCAGTCGGCAGATTGAAGTGCCTACTCAGGCAAACGCAGGGGCCAGGGTTTGATCCTTGGCATGCCGTGCCACCCTGCCCCTGGGGTGCATTGAGACAACGATTGAGACTGGGCATGGTGGCACGTGCCTGTAATCCCCTCCCAGTGTTCAGCTGAAGAGGCTGAACACAGACAGATCACTATGAGTCCGAGCTACGTAGTGAGACCCTGTAGAACCTGTACTAAAACACACACACACACAGGGAAAAAAAAAAATCAGTTGGAATCTAGTTGTTTTCACTGATATTAGGCAGGGATAAAAATAAATCCTTAACATTTTGGAGCAAAGATGTGTAGAGTTCAAAGCAAATTGCAGCATAAAATTTAAATGGGACTATAGGAAAACAAATATGTATGTTCTTCATTTATAAAATAGACCTTCTAGTGTGCTTTGCTTTGCTTTGAAAACCTGCCTGTATATATATTCACCCAGTTATCACGCAAGAATGCTACTTCTGTAATGCAGAGATGAAATTACAACACAATTGTTTGATGTGTGACCTCAGTTCATAAGATGGAAAAGTCTGATGAAGTTATTGCATATTATTGTTGTCTTTTGCAGGAGTAACAAAGCAGCTGTTTCCCAATACAGATGACGTGTCAATTAGGAGAATGATAGGGCAAAAACTAAACAACTGTACCAAGAAGCCAAATGTAAGCAAAAATCTTAACTCTCAGGATATTAAGTAGATCCTTTTGGTAAGTCTTTTAAATCTTCGCAATCCTTTCAATGTGGCAAGAAGGTGTTATGCTGCTTATATCCGGGGACAAACATTCTGCAAATTGTCACTAGGGGACGACAAGGTGGACTACAGAGGGAAGTTACACTTGGTGATGCTGAGTTGTGCTGTGAAGGTTTCCCTTTTACAGAATCTCTCAGGTATTCTGATACTTTTAATTTGCCTGTGTGCACCAGAGAGCTCCAAGAAGGTAGTGTGCTGTGTACTGTTGTGCTTCCCTAATTGTTCACAGAACAACATTAACTTGTGACTAAAGCGGCCGGGGTTCGATTCCTGGCGTTTCATGCCAGCCCTGCCCCCATGGTGCGCTGAGACAGAGATTGAGACTGGGCGTGGTGGAGTGCGCCTGTAATCCCAGTGCCTGAGATGATGAAAACAGAAAGATCACTGCAAGTCCGATCTACACAGTGAGACCCTGTAGACCCTGCATCCCCTGTACTAAATGCATTTTTTAAAAAAAGAAGAAAAGCATTAACTTATGAGCAACAGTAAAAGTAGACAAGCACAAGTGCAGCACTGTTTAGCAAATGTTTCTGCAGAACCATGTACACTGTCTCTGGGAGGGCTCTGCACACTGCAGGCTACATTGGGGGTGGAGGCCCTGCAGCCACAGCCACCGGGACACAGCAGCCTCCGCCATCCCCCTGAGCCTCTCACTGTCTGCAGGTCTGAAAATCAGCTGTCGCTTAATAATGGCTTTTACCAATAGCTGAGCCTTAGGTGGAGCAAGTCTGTCAAGTGGAATCATGTCTGCTTTCGTTGCCCAAAGTCCCGGGCTAGTCCAGCGGACTCCTTATGGTCTCTGCTTCAGTTTGGAGCTGAGCTGGCCCTGAAGGCCAGCGGTGCTGAGGCTCAGTCCCCAATTTGGTCTGTTGGAAGGGGGTCCGAAGTTAAGGGTGGGGCCTGGAGCACAGTGTTCTGCCCTGAGGTCACAGGACCTCCACGCTTCCTCTGTGTCACGGTGCCACGAGGTGAGCTCTGCCCCCCACCAGGCTGGGCTGCCTCCCCACTGCAGAACCGCAGGGCCCGTGGTCGGGCACCAAAGCTTCCAAACTATGAGCTGCCATGACCCTTCTCTTTTCATCAGCTGAGCATCTCAGATACTTGTTACAGAAGTGGAAAACTAGCTAACATGTTCTCTGTTATTTTGCTGGAGAATATGTGAAAAAATATGTATGATTGTGTGCTAATATTTTCATTCACCCATAGAAGTACAAAAGTAGCACATGAGAGAGATATATTTAGAAGTCCATGTGTTTAAAAGGGTTTTTTTGGTGGTTTTTTTTTTTTTTTTCTTCTTCTTCTATTTTCTTGTACCTTTGACTTCTTTTTGCATATTCGCTCCCTGATCAAACATCTTGGACATCGTGTTGCTTGTCAACCCTTCCACTGTCTGTTTTTTTGTTTTGTTTTGTTTTGTTTTTTGGACACTGGCTGTTTTAAGTGGGGTAGGACTGCGTGCAGGGCAGCATGCCCCCTTCTCCACCTAGAACTGCTATCACCTCCTTCTCCAGAAGGTTCCTGTCTCAGTTATTCTTCTCTCATTGCTGGGTCAAATACCCAAACTCAAAATGAAAGGAGGAAAGGTTTATTTAGCTCACAGTTCCTGGAGGTTTCATAGTTTAAAACAGCCTGAATTACATAGCAAGACCTCGGAGCCTTATTTGCTCAGTAGAGAGGGTCAGTGCCTCTGTCTTCCACAAACATCTTTTTTCTGCCTGAGGAGGCCTCAATTGCAGACGCCACTGCCCCACACTATAGGGTTCAGAGGAGAAGCTGGGGCGCCTAAGTGCCCAGGATGACCCACTCCACACCTCCAAGAGAGGCTGCAAGCCAGGCGATGAGATTGCCACCAGTTTAAAGGTTCCTGCCTCTCTGGCCCCGCCCCTCAAGGCCAGTCCTGGCCCTCTGGCCCCGCCCTGGTCATCTGGCCCCGCCCCTCGAGCCCCTCGAGCCTCTCCGTGCTTCTTGAGATCGGCTTCCCAATGACTTGCATGAGGCTTTGGGAGGACAACTAGACAAACCCTAATAGTTCCCTCGTCAAATCTGCTGCACAAAGAACTTGAGAGTAACAGTAGCGTCTCTTCCTTAAGAAAATAGAATAAGGGCAGCGGAATCTTTTTCTTGGCTCACACAAACCACAGGACTGACTTAAAGAGTTATATAGGATAAAGATATTTGTATCCTTCCCCCCGCCCAAGATCATGAATTTCAGAATATTATGAAAGCAACTTTCTAATTGTTAGATGATGATTGCTCAAATGTGTCTCATTCTGACAAGAGGCTGAAGGACTGGGAAGATAGCTCAGGGGCATACGCGCCTGCCTGGCAAGCGCACGACCCTGAGTTTGATCCCCAGTACTGGGGAAAAAAAAAAATCTGACAGGAGGTTGAGCAGTTGTCACAGTGTACAACGACCAAGTTCCCTTCTGAATGCTCTGTAACTAGACCTGCAGGCCAGACATCTATCTTTTGGAGCCTAGTATTATATTTGAGAAATCTACAAAGCGCTTTAACACCCTAAACTCTGCCCTTTTAGTATCTTAGGCCACCAAGAATAGGTACAAAACACGTCGCTGTCACATATTAGCTGGGTGTTCAGGATCTCACTGCTAGATCAGACTTATAGTGATCAGCCTGTTTACAGCCTCCCGAGAGCTGGGGTTACAGGCTTGCACCACCACGTCCAGTCTCAATTGCCTTCTCAGCACACCCCGGGGGCAGGGCTGCCGTGGCAGGCCCGAGGATCGAACCCCCAGACACTGCGCCTGCTTGCAGGTGTTTTAATCCACTGAGCTATTTGGCCGGTCCAGGAAAAGAGTTTTTGTATCAGTTTTGTTTGTGTTTGAAATCAGTAGTGTTATTAAACGTGAACGTTATTTAAAATTGGAACAAAGGACAAACCTTTTGCTTGGAGCACAATATATTTTTGTGTCTCTGGATCTGAACCTAGCTTTGTACTGCCAAGTTGCTTATATTCGAAATGCATATATTTTGAATAAGAAGTGAAGATTAACATCAGAATGGTAATCTTGTTTAAATTGGTAAGTATATTTCATTGGAAATATAGCTAAATTCAAATGATGTCCAAAAGACTGAGGAAAGGGCTGGTGAGATGGCTCAGTGGTCTAAAGCACCTACTTAGAACAAGCTTGGCAAAGCACAGGGACC